GGTGACTGCTTACTTTTATTTTTGTCCCCTTTGAGCAAGAAGTTTTGCTTCTTTTTGCCCAGGCTGGAGTGCAGTGGCACGGACTTTGGCTCACCACAACCCCGCCTCCCGGTCAGCAATTCTCCTGCCTCAGGGTCTCTCCTGAGTAGCGGTATTACAGGCTTGGCCACCGGTACTTTGTATTTTTAGTTAGAGACGGGTTTTCCATTTGAGGTCGGCTCATTGTATTCCGACCTCAGGTGGACCTGCCCCTCGGCCTCCAAAGGTGCCAGGATGGACAGTTGTAGGCACCGTGCCCAGGGCTGCATTTTTTATTGTTAGGAAGATGTCTGCTGGGCGCAGTGACTCATGCCCGTAATCCCAGCACTTTGGGAGGCTGAGGCGAGTGAACCACCTGAGGTCAGGAGTTCGAGACCAGCCTGACCAACATGGTGAAACCCTGTCTCTACTAAAATTACAAAAATTAGCCAGGGATAGTGGCGGGCACCTGTAATCCCAGCTACTTGGGAGGCTGAGGCAGGAGAATCGCTTGAACCTGGGAGGAGGTTGCAGTGAGCCGAGATCACGCCACTGCATTCCAGCTTGGGCAATAAGAGCGAAACTCCTTCTCAAACAAAACAAAACAAAACAAAACGGAAGATGTCTTCTTGGACCTGGCGCGGTGACTCACGCCTGTAATCTCAGCACTTTGGGCAGCCAAGGCGGGTGGGTCATCTGAGGTTGGGAGTTTGAGAACATCCTGACCGACATGGTGAAACTCCGTCTCTACTAAAAATACAAAAATTAACTGGGCATGATGGCGTGCACCTACAATCCCAGCTATTCGGGAGGCTGAGGCAGGAGAATGACTTGAACCTGGAGGCGGACGTTAAAAAAGTAATTGGTACTTAATTATTTTTTCTTTTGTATTGAGACAGAGTCTCGCTCTGTCACCCAGGCTGGAGTGCAATGGCATGATCTCGGTTCACTGCAACCTCCACCTCCTGGGTTCAAGCAATTCTCCTGTCTCAGTCTCCTGAGTAGTTGGGATTACAGGCGCACGCCACCATGGCTGGCTACTTTCTTGCATTTTAGTAGAGACGGGGTTTTACCGTGTTGCCCAGGCTGGTCTCGAACTCCTGAGCTCAGGTAATTCGCTCACCTCGGCCTCCCAAAGTGTTAGGATTACAGGCGTGAGCCACCATGCCCGATCTATAAACATATTTTAACACAGAAAAGGTAGAGTAAAAATCAGTATTACAATCTTATGGAACTATTGTTGTACATGTGGTCAGTAACTGACAAAACAAAGTTATGATCACACTATGTGGGTATAATCTACCTGCATAGGTACAATCACAATCTACCCTTCAAAGATTAAGGCCGAGAGGAATGGCGCGCACGCACACACGCGCACACACACACACACCCCCACACACAGCGTTACAGAAAACAGCAAACACACACAAAAACAGTGATAATCTTTTTCCCTGATATCCCAAGTAGGAATTTACCCTGGAAATGAACTTAAGTGTAAGAAAAGAAATACCCCAAAGGCAATCAAAAACAAAATAAAAAAGCTCACGAGGCCAGGCACAGTGGCTCATGCCTGTAATCCCAGCACTCTGAGAGACCAAGGCCAGTGGATCACTTGAGGCCAGCCTGGGGAACATGGTGAGACCATCTCTGCCAAAAAAAATTAGCTGGGAGTGATGGTGTGTGCCTGCTACTCTGCAGGTTGAGGTGGGAGGATCATTTGAGTCCAGGAGCTCAAGGTCACAGTCAGCTGTGATCATGCCACTATACTGCAGCCTGAGTGACAGGGAAGTTTACGGGTAAACACCAGCAGTATTGTCAATAGATGACTAGACATCATTGTTACATAATTGCAGGTATGTTAAAGGATTAACCGGAATTGGGTTTTACCTTGGAAAGATGTTTGAAGTATGTGAGAGGGGAGAAAACAGGCTGGGCAAGGTGGCTCGTGCCTGCAATCACAATACTTTGGGAAGCTGAGGCAGATGGATCACTTGAGGCCAGGAGTTCAAGACCAGCCTGGCCAACATGCTGAAACCCCATCTCTACTCAAAATACAAAAATTAGCCAGGTGTGGTGGCGGGCCCCTGTAATCCCAAGTAAGGAGGCTGAGGCAGGATAATTGCTTGAACCTGGGAGGCTGGAGGATGCAGTAAGCCAAGATCGAGCCAGTGCACTCCCTTGAGCCTGGGAGGTCAAGGCTGCAGTAAGCTGAGATCATACCACTGCACTCTAGCCTGGGTGAAAGAGTGAGACCCTGTCTTAAAAAAAGAAAAAACAGGCCGGGTATGGTGGCTCATGCCTGTAATCTCAGCACTTTGGGAGGCCGAGGTGGGCGAGTTCACCTCAGGTCGGGAGTTTAAGAACAGCCTGACCAACATAGTGAAACTCTGTCTCTATTAAAAATACAAAGTTAGCCGGGCGTGATGGTGCATGCCTGTAATCCCAGCTACTGGGAGGCCAAGGCAGGAGAATCACTGGAACCCGGGAGGCGGAGGTTACAGTGAGCCAAGATCATGCCATTGCCCTCCAGCGGCAACAAGAGGGAAACTGTCAAAAAAAAAAAAAAGAAAAGAAAAGAAAAGTGAGGCAAGCATGGACATAACCACGTCCGCATCTTTCTGACTGTAGGAACAAGTGTCACGAGGCAGCTGGAAGTGATTGTCAAGTAAACATTCTCAGGTATAGAACAGAAAGTACCAGAAAAACTTCCATATACACCTGGGTGAGAAAAAAAAAAACATTCAAAATTTATTTTCCAACAGACAGACAGCATCAGCAGGTACAACTACAGGGGTTTCTCCGTGGATCATACATTCACAAGGCATTATTAGCTCAACAGTGAGAAAGCCACTGGTGTGTTTTCTGTAACAATATCCACTTCACAGTGTAAACAGGTACTATTATCGTGTTCACTTACAATTCCAGAAGGAAAGGCACAACTTGGCAAAAAAAAAAGGCGGGGGTGGGCGGGATCCTAAAGTCAGGTGCAACGATGAAGAACAACACTTTGGCTATTCGTCTTGGATGCATATTTCCATCAGGACCTTCCACATAGAGGGGAAAGACTTTTCTCCCAGAAGTTAGTTTTTTTTTTTTTCTTTCTCCCTTCTTGTTAAACCAAGAGCAATGTTTCGTTTGCTCAGTATCACATATACAAAAGGAAACTACACAAAAAAAGGCATCACAAAATCATCTTGAACGTTCACCTCTTCCCACCAATACATCAACTCTTAGGTTTTAGACAGGGCCTGGGAATACTTCAGCGGTCTTAAAACAGGAAAACAGACACTATGGCTACAAAAAATAAAAAATAAATGAGGTAGATAAATTAAAGCTTTCACACCCAGGACTTGCCTGTTCTAACTTCGTAGCCTTCATGAAATATTCAGCAAGAAAACAAACAAAACAAAAAATCTTCATAATTACTTGGCATAAGTCGCACCAAGGAAATTCAACAAAAACAATCAGTATGTGAACCTGTGATGGGAAACACGCCCTTCCACGAGTTTCTCCTCGAGCATGAAAACCCAGTTCTTCAATAGAGTAGGCACTGGCAAACTAAGTCACCTGAGATTCCCCGCTCAGGTGCCCACCTCTTCTGGGGTTCGGGAAGAGGAAGGCATCTAAGAGGTGTGGGGAAAACATTGGCACTCTCGGGGCTCCAACTGAACTTTATTTAAATAAGCAGCAACACATACATTGACTCCCTAAGGACTAACGTTAAGTCCATTTGAGGGCCTCCTACTTAAGGTTCTAAGGTTGAAGCAATTTTATAATTCTACAACCCTAGTTTGTTGTTGTTCCTTTTTTAAGTACATTCAAAAAAAACAAACAAGATGGGGACAGGATTGGGGCATATAAAACAGGTCCCTAGAGAGATGACAGACCTTGTCCTTTTACCCGCGTCCAGTTACCATATAAGTATACAGTACCCCTCTCCCCTCAATTAGGCTGTGTAGTTGTCTTTTCCACTGTTGTTCAATAAGTTCCAACAATTCTACCTTGAAATAGGTAAGTCTTTGGAAAAAGTCATTCTAGGTTGTACAAAGGTTCTATGTATACGTCTGTTACAAGTAACAAAGCTACTTTGCAAGACCCGCTTCTTTCCAAAATTGAAAAAAAAAAAAAAAAAGTGCCAGGCATGGTGGCTCACACCTGTAATCCCAGCACTTTGGGAGGCCAAGACGGGTGGATCATGAGGTCAGGAGTTCGAGACCAGCCTGACCAACATGGTGAAACCCCATCTCTACTCAAAATACAAAAATTAGCCAGGCGTGGTGGCACGCGCCTATAATCCCAGCTACTCGGGAGGCTAAGGGCAGGAGAATCACTTGAACCCGGGAAGGGGAGGTTGCAGTGAGCCGAGATCAATACCACTGCACTCCAGCCTGGGTGATAGAGCGAGACTCCATCTCAAAAAAAACAGTCTGTATTTGTTTTGGTATGAATTTTTTTATTTTTTCAACTTTTTGCAAAGCAGCATAGCAACAATTGTGATTGTAGGACTTGCCTGAGGTTGTGGTCACAACCATCGTAAACATCATTTGCATATCAGTAAGAAAAAGAAAACAGGAGGAGATGAGTTCTTACAAAACAAAGCAGATTCTAGAGATTTCACGGTGTCTGCATTGCTCCTTCCACTCAAGTTCTCCCTTGCTTAGCTGACCGCAATCTTGTTTTCTTCTAGGAAGTGAGGAAACTGGTGTTTGGGAACGCCGTCAGTAGCACTTGGTTTTTCCACATCGGCACTGATACTCGATTGGGAGCCATCCATCTTGGAGACAGTGGCGTTACTCACAACGGAGGTGGCCCCCAAGGAAACAGGGAGGGTAGGAACCCCTCCACTCTGGATCACAGAGATCTCATTGGTCTTCACAGCCAGACCGCCATTGAGCATGCTGGTATACTGGTTCCACACCACAGGGTCCACATTCACCGAAGGGGCCAGGATTTCCTTGGGAAAGATTTCTGAGACTCTTTTTCCGTCCGTACCTAACAGAGCCATGGTGTTCTCGATGGCCAGCTTCCTTCCACGGCGGGCTGAGTTATTGTTCGCCCCGTGTGTCATGTAGTGAACCTACGGGAACAGGACAGAAAGGTTTTTATCAAAATAGAGATTTGAAGCTCACTGGCAAGCCAAGAATCACTCTGCATATGGATTTCATTCTACCCAGTGTTTTAACATATAGATGATCCTCGACTTACAGTGGGGTTATGCCCGGATAAACTCACTGAAAGTAGAAAATATTCTTAGTCTAAAATGCATTTAATACACCTAACCAGCCAAACATCATAGCTCAGTTTAGCCTACCTCAAACACGCTCAGAACATTTGCATTAGCTTACAGTTAGGCAAAATCATCTAATGCAAAGACTGTTTTATAATAAAGCATTGAAATAGCTCATGTAGGCATGGCACAGTGGCTCACGCCTGTAATCCCGGCACTTTGGGATGCCGAGGTGGGCAGATCACTTGAGGTCAGGAGTTCAAGACCAGCCTGGCCAACATGGTGAAACCCTGTCTATGAAAAATACAAAAATTAGCCGGGCATGGTGATGCATGCCTGTAATTCCAGCTACTCGGGAGGCTGACGCACGAGAATCGCTTGAACCTAGGAGGCAAAGGTTGCAGTGAGCCAAGATCATGCCACTGCACTCCAGCCTGGGTGACAGAGCAAAAGACTCCGTCTCAAAAAAAAAAAAATTAGCTCATAGCTCATGTGATTGAATACTGTACTGAAAACTAGAAACAGAATGGTTGTATGGGTACCCAAAGTCTGATATCTATTGAATGCATCTCACTTTTGTACCATTGTAAATCAAACCATCTTAAGTCTGCACTTTATATTTAGAAAATCAGATTTCTTATATCACCTAATGAGCATTCCTCCCCAGAGCAACCAAGATGGGGTTATAGTCTCCAACTGTCTCTGCTCCACCAATCATGGGTGTACCTATGTGAAAACCTACTATATGCTGGGCATTGATCCAAGTGCCAGGGTTAACTTTTTTTTTTTTTTTCTTGAGTCTTAATCTGTCACCCAGGCTACAGTGCAGTGGCACGGTTCACTGCAGCCTCAACCTCCCAGGCTCAAGCGACCCACCCACCTCAGCTTCCTGAGTACCTGGGACTACAGGTGCACACCACCATGCCCAGCTAATTTATTTTTATTTGTAGAGACTGGATCTCCTTATGTTGCCCAAGCTGGTCTCGAACTCCTGGCCTCATGTGATCCTCCCACCTTGTCCTCCCAAAATGCTGGGATTACAGGCATGAGCCACCACACCCAGCCTAGAGTTCACATTTTTAAAATGCACAAACCTACACAGGTAATAAAACTGTAGAGTACACAACATGCACACCTGAGTAGAAGTAAAATGGGAAAATCTGAATATGCTGATTGTAACAATGTCAATATCTTGATTATGCTACAGTTTTGCAAAGTGCTATCAATGAGGAAAACTGGGCAAAGCATACAAGGACATCTCTGTATTATTTTTCAAAAGTCCAGTGAAAATCTATACTTACTTAAGTAAAAATTTCAGTTAAAAACAATTTGTGGGCAGGGCGCGGTGGCTCACGCCTGTAATCCCAGTACTTGGGGAGGCCGAGGCGGGCAGATCACCTGAGGTCAGGAGTTCGAGACGAGCCTGGCCAACATGGTGAAACCCCATCTCTGCTAAAAAATATATAAAAATTAGCCAGGCATGATGGCGAGTGCCTGTAATTCCAGCTACTCGGGAGGCTGAAGCAGGAGAATTGCTTGAACTCGGGAGGCAGAGGGTTGCAATGAGCCGAGATTGTGCCATTGCACTCCAGCCTGCGTGACAGAGCAAAACAGACCATACCCTGATGCAGTTGACATCTAAATATATAGAACATCAATGTCTAATAATTGCTACAGAGAAAAATGTATCTGGCTGGGAAAGCTACAGAAGGCCATGGTGGAAATAGGATGCTATTTAATCTAGGGTGGTAGGCGAGGCTTCCGCTAAAGAAGGGACCTTATTAGCATCTGACTGCTTTCCTTAATTATTTTTCCTGTCTGGCTTTCAAGTTCTGAAATCCTTTTCAGCTTTTTTTTTTATTTATATGAATTTAATTTTTGTAGAGATGGCATCTTGCTATGTTGCCCAGGCTGGTCTTCAACTCCTGGGGTCAAGTGATCCTCCCACCACCACCTCCCAAAGTGCTGGGAGTACAGGCGTGAGCCACTGTGCCTAGCCCTTTTCAGCTTCGTAAGAGTTTAAAACTCTTAAGAGACAGGGTCTTACTCTCTTGTCCAGGCTAGAGTGCAGTGGTGTGATCACAGCTCACATTGCACCCTCGACACCGCAGGTTCAAGCAATCCTCCCACTTCAGCTGCCCAAGTAGCTGGGCCTACAGGCGCATGCCACCACGCCCAGCTAATTTTTATTTTGTAGTGACAGGGTCTCCTTATGTTACCTCCTCCCCGCTCAGCCTCCCAATTAGCTGGGACCCAAGCATGCAACACCACGCCCAACTGATTTTTGTTTTTTCTGTAAAGACGTTGTCTCCCTATGTTGCCCAGGCTGGTCTCAAACTCGTGGACTCAAGCAATCCTCCCACCTCGGCCTCCCAAAGGAGGAATGGAAGGATGGAAGAACTCATCACGGACTGTGCCAATAAGGAGAAGACACTCGGCGCCCAGCCCCCGTCCTGCTGAAAGCCCACACAAACCCACCTTTAAGTTGCCTTTGGTGGTAAAAGCTCGCCCACAAATGTTGCACACAAAAGGCTTCTCTCCAGTGTGAGTCCGCTCGTGGATCTGAAGAGCGCTAGCAGACGAGAAGTTCTTCCCACACCGTGTGCAGCCATGTTGCTTGGCCTGTCGGCGTGGCTGGGCTGCTAACAAAGGGGTCATCCCTGGGGACAATGTTGAGGGTCCCACAAACGTGCCAGGAACTTCAACCTTGACATAGGTTGGCTGGGCTCGGATAAACGTGGAAGGGAGACTGCTCCGACCTAGTACACAGAGGGGAAAAAGCCAGACCTTTATCATCCAACATTCATTCTTTCTCTTCAAAGCCAAAGAGATCTTTACAGATAACTGCCTGCTAGTTTGAGAGTCCGGAGCTGGCTTTGTAAGAAATTAACACCTTGAAAGCACCTTAACAGAAATTAACACCTTCCTTTGAATTGTTTATCTGCACAAAGAAGAAAGCCTCAAATGCTTGGGAAAAGGTACCACTTTGGGTTTTTTTTTAAGGTATGGGCAACATATAAACACATATCTAATTTAAGTCCAAATTTCTACATAAGAAACTACCTTTAAAGTATATGCCCAGACACCATCTTTCTTTGATTCTATGATACAGCTTTTCCCTTATTTTACCATTAATGACATCAACAGTCACCTCTCAGTAGATACGTGCATTTAAAATGGGTTCATCTTTCCCTGCTTCAAGAGCGGTTAATTTGTGAATATTACATCAGGCAGTGGGGTCTCAGAGTCAGGGAACCATGGCTTATTTCAGTGGTCAAAAAGCAGTGGCCACTTCCTCAAACATACTCTTAAGACATCCGTATACAGAATCAGTGTGGAGAAACAAAAAGAAAAAAACTATAACAAAATAGAAAGACTACCCCTATGTTCCAAGGGGCTCAAAGACAAAAATAAAAACCAACAAAAAAGGTATGCTGTCCATACCCATTTTGCATTGACCACCATAAACAAAAAGCATGTTCATTACTAGGATAGTGGCAGTTACTATTGCCCTCTACCCAGAAGCACAGAAAAGCTAATTGCCCTATAGAAGGGGCTGCTTCAAGTCATACTCTCCGTTTGTAAAGTTCAACCCAGGTTCCTTTTTGATGACCTTGAGCCCAAAATGGACATAAGTTAAATCCAAAGCTCTATCACCTTCCATCTCAGTGCGGCTGTTCTCGGAGCTCTCTGCTTTGCTCCCAGCATCGGGAGACTTTGACTTGATGCTTTCGGCTTGACTATTGGCCGGGGAGAGTGCCTGGAAGGATGTGGTTTCCAGGATGTCTGGGCTTCGGCTCTGATACTCCTGGTCTCCCATCAGCGAGGACGAGTCGTTGGTCAAGCCGTCACTCTCCACGGAACCGTTTTCTCTGCTGCCCTGGCGCTGCAGGTTAAAAGGGGCAGGACCCACTTTCCCTGGGGCATCTAAGGAAGCCATCATGGCAAACCCTAGTGTGGGTGATGCCGAGTGGATGCTGGGAAGAGGCGTGGGGACCTTCGAGGAGCTGCTGGGAGCCTCCTGGGAGCTGACTTCCTCTAAATCGATGCTTTCGATGACATCATCATGGCAGATGGCGCCGATGCTGCCGTTCTCACCCACCGTCATTGGCTCAGAACCCGGAAAGTCACAGGGATTCTCTGGCAGGGGCGTGTTGGGAATCTGACCGCCCATGTGCATCCGAATATGCTGCTGCAGCATCACGGCGTTGGTGAACTTCTTCTGGCAGATGGGGCATGAATGCTGTGTCTTAATGGACGTATTGGTTCGGTGAACCCCGAGGTGTGTCTTCAGGTTACCTTTGGTAGAAAAGGCTCGGCCACAGATCTTACACTGGAACGGTCTCTCCCCGGTGTGGGTGCGATAATGCATCTTGAGGGAGCTCTGGCAGCTTAAGACTCGGTGGCAAATGAGACATTCGTTGGGATCAGTGGTGGCCTTGTCAATGTTCTCCACCAGTTGCTGCAATTTCAGAGTCTCTGACCCTGGCTCAGGGGTCCCACTCCCTTGGAAGCCACCAGCCCTTGGGGAATTATGGTTTGGTCCCACCCCAGGGAGTGTGGGTCCACCCTCACTTTCTGGAGAAGGCCCAGGCTGCAGGTCACTGGGCAAGGGGCCACCCGTGAGGTCCTTGGGATTAGTCCCCGAAGAGAGATTCTGAGGTAGCCCTACAGAGGTGGTTACAAGGACAGGTTTGCTGTCTAAGGAAAGACTCGATTCATCTATGGGGTCAGGTACAGAGAGTGCATAGGGGATGCCATTGCCAGCCGCCACTTTGTCCTGGAACTCGGCAAACAGCTGGGGGTTTGCCTTCACCTGGGGATGTCGGTGAAAGTGCACCTTGAGGTTGCCCTTGGTGGTGAAGCGATGACCACAGACAGAGCACACGAAGGGTCTCTCTCCAGTGTGGGAGCGGAGGTGGATCTGCAAGGAGCTATCAGTCCCAAAAACCTTGCTACAGTACTTACACTTGTGCTTGTAGAGGACCGCCTCGTCTTTGGGTTTGACATCCACCGCAGAGATGTTCGGGGGCTTCCCCTTCCCTTTCTTGGATGTGTCTAGCGTCACAGTGGAGAAAGGGCTCTGGAAGAGCACCGAGCCCGGGGCCTGAGGAAGCAAAGCACTCGGGAGGCGGGACATGACGTTCGGGAGCACCCGGGTCCCATCCGGCTTCAGCGCGAAGGGCGCCAGCCCTGGGGACAGGGAGCTGGTGGCAGAAGGGATGTTGGCATGAGGTAGCTTGGCTTGTTTCAAGGCATCCAGAGACAGACCTTGGCTTCCAGCTTTCTGGCTGAGCAAAGCCACGGCTGCAGAAACCTGCTGAGACATGTGGCTGCCCAAGGTCTTCAGAGTGTCAGCCCCTGCCCCACTCGAGTGGAGGGCGTGGGAGGCCCACATGTTCACCTGGATGCGGATCTGCTCGGTGAGCTGGATCTGCTGTAGCTGCTGCTGCTGCAGACACAAGATCTGCTCGAGGACCCACGGGATGCTGTTGGCGCCAGGCACGGGGGCAGGGAGTGCATCCGCGCTCCGCTGATTCACCGCCACCTTGGTGCCCCGTAGTGCCTGCAAGGTCACGTTAGTGTTGGCCACTTTGCCTTTGGCTAAATAGCTTATGTCCTGGGGGGTGGGTGGCAGGGCTGTCTCTGTCTTTAGGTACACCACAGACTCCGCGCCCGGCTTCTCCTTCACATCCTCTGAGCTGCCGCCATTCTCCCTGTGACCGTCCTTACTGCTGGGGCTGGCGGGCTGGTGGCTCAGTACAGCTCTGGAGAAGTCTTCTGAAGGCACCGGCCCCTCGCTGTCATTCATGATGAGGACAGGTGGATTTTTAGTGCAATTTTTCTTATGTTCCAGAAACTCAGAGACGCTGAAGAACTCTGCACAGCATTTCTCACAGACGTGTGTCTCCTCCCGACGAAGCCGCTTTACTGTGGCTTCGTCCTCACTTGCCCCCTCGTCATTCCCCGGGTGGTTCACTGGAGCACCTATAACAAGACAGAAAAAGCTAAGGACTCTTCCCAAGTAAAAGATATGGGGGGAGCTGGGCACAGTGGCTCACGTCAATCATCACAGCACTTTGAGAGGCTGAGGCGGGCAGATCACCTAAGGTTGGGAATTCGAGACCAGTCTGGTCAACACGGTGAGACCCTGTCTCTATTAAAAACAGAAAATATCAGCCAGTCATGGTGGTGGACTCCTGTAGTCCCAGCTACTCGGGAGGCTGAGGCACAAGAATTGCTTGAACTCAGGAGGCGGAGGTTGCAGTTAACCAAGATTGCGCCATTGCACTCCAGCCTGGGCAACAGACTTTTTTGAGACTCTGTCTCAAAAAAAGACAACAAAAAAACAAAACAAAACAAAACAAAAACACGCTGATCCTTGAATTTCTTTTGTAACTGGGGCTTATTTACTTTAGGATTAGTGCCAGCCTACACATTGCAACTCCGAACTTAGGACTACGTTTTAGCCAGATGCCGGCGTCCTTTACACAAGACGCCTGGCGAAGACTACTTCACTGTTCTCACCTCCCCGCTGTCCTCTCCGGTATACCCCATCGCCAAGATATCAATGGAGCCTGGGGCCACAGGACAAAGACAGGCATACCTCAGACCCTGCAGCTGAGCCTAGGAATCTAAACTACAGAAGACATTCACACAAGCCTACAATGATCTGTGTTTTTTTGTTTGTTTTGTCAGAAACGTTCACAGCAGCAAAGAAGTAAATTTTTGCCCACCCACCCATAGTGTAAGAAGTATGCAGAATTTCTGTATGCCATAGAAATTAAGTGAAAGAAATGGGTTACGCAACAATATGTACAACATGACCATTTTGCTTAAAACAAAACCTGTGTTTGAAATGTACAAACATGGCTGGGTGCAGTGGCTCACACCAGTCATCCCCGCACTTTGAGGTCACTTTTGAGAGGCCAGGAGTTCGAAACCAGCAACACAGTGAGACCCTGTCTCTACAAAAAAATAAGAAGATAAAAACAGCTGACCATGGCGGTGTCCATGTATATAGTTCAAGCTACTCAGGAGGCTGAGGCAGGAGAATTGCTTGAGCTTGGGAAGTCAAGTCACTCCAGCCCGGGTGACAGAGTAAGACCGAGATCCTGTCTGAAAACAAAACAAACAAACAAACAAAGTACAAATGCACAAGGAAAAGGCCAGGAAGGGCTGGAGTGCAGTGGTCCAATCTTGGCTCACTAACCTCCGCCTCCTGGATTCAAGCTATTCTCCTGCCTCAGTCTCCTGGGAAGCTGGGATTACAGGCGCCCGCCACCACGCCTGGCTAATTTTTGTATTTTTAGTAGAGATGGGGTTTCACCATGTTGGCCAGGCTGGTCTTGAACTCCTGGGTTCAAGTGATCCGTCTGCCTCAGCCTCCCAAGGTGCTGGGATTACAGGCATGAGCCACTGCATCTAGCCAAATCCATGGACTTTTGACAGCACAGTCCACCAACGGGTTTCCAGGAAGGACTGATCTTGAAGCATGGCCTCAACAAACTGGTTTAATCTTTACTTATTTCAGACTGGGTCACAATATTAAGTCTTGCAAGGTATGTGTAGGCTGGGGGTGGGTCAGGGGAAGAGACAACAGCCATGGGCAGGTCTGGCCTGCCAGAGTTAAGAAAGCTGGCCAGGGCCAACCTGGCCTTGCCTACCAATAGCAGGTAGTTATTGATAGGCAAGTGGGTTCATCCCTAAGAATGCCTACTGAGCACACATAATCACGAGATGACAACCTCGTGATTAGATGATTACATGCCTGGATTTACTGATTCAACCAGGACTGAGGAGAGCGATGCCTTACAATAAAACAATGTAATGCCTCTCATTCCACAATACTGACCTCCTACTGTGTGCAAAGCAGGGGTTGGGGGCCCAATGGTGAAAAGATGAGCCCCATTATCTTCCTATAATTCAGATTTTGTACCCACAGATGCCCACACTGTAATCATTCAATCCTATTAAATATCAGCTCCATTTAAAGATGAGAAAAAGGCCGGGCATGGTGGCTCACACCTGTGATCCCAGTACTTTGGGAGGCCAAGGCAGGCCTGAGGCCAGGAGTTCGAAACCAGCCTGATCAACATGGTGAAACTCCATCTCTACTAAAAATACAAACTTAGCCCAGCGTGGTGGCGCATGCCTGTAACCCAGCTACTCAGGAGGCTGAGACAGGAGAATTGCTTGAACCCGGGAGGCGGAGGTTGCAGTGAGCTGAGACTGCGCCGTTGTACTCCAGCCTGGGCAACGAGAGCGAAACTCCATCTCAAAAAAAAAATAAATAAACAATGAAAAAATAAAGATGTGAAAAACAGAGACTCTGAGAAATAATGTGACTTGTGCAACATAACAAAAGTTATTGACAGATAACTTTTGAGCACTTACTTTGTACGTGGCCAGGTATGATTCTAAACAATGTATGTTATTATATTAACAACTCTGAAATAGAAACTATTACCCTATTTGACAGAAGGGGAAACTGAGGCACAGAGGACATGAACTTGCCCAAGGTAACATGTCAAGTAAACCGCAGAGCCAGTATTAAACCCCAGACATGCAGTTCTCACACTCTCTATTGGAACCCTTCATTTGTACCCTTCTGATCATGTTTCTTCTGTTAAGACTGCAACTCTGCCGGGCGCGGTGGCTCAAGCCTGTAATCCCAGCACTTTGGGAGGCCGAGACGGGCGGATCACGAGGTCAGGAGATCGAGACCATCCTGGCTAACACGGTGAAACCCCGTCTCTAGTAAAAAATACAAAAAACTAGCTGGGCGCGGTGGCGGGCGCCTGTAGTCCCAGCTACTCGGGAGGCTGAGGCAGGAGAATGGCGTGAACCCGGGAGGCGGAGCTTGCAGTGAGCTGAGATCCGGCCACTGCACTCCAGCCTGGGCTACAGAGCGAGACTCCGTCTCAAAAAAAAAAAAAAAAAAGACTGCAACTCTCTCTTTCCTCTCAGAGATGTTAAGGTGGGACAGGAGAGCCTGGGAGGTTGCCTTGGTTAGGAAAGGGTGGGAGTAGACCACCCATTCCTGTCTTATTTCTAGGACTTCCAGAAGTTGCTCTGAAAGTGTTAGGATGCAGTGCGATGCTGCCACTTCCAGGTAGAGTTCCAGTAGCAGATACCAGCACAAACTCTCCTTAAGCCCCAATACCGCTGCGAATCTGCCTCCTTTCAATGATCAAGATAAAAATGCTCGTCAATTCCCAGAACCCTGGCAACTGTTTATCTGGGAACCACCAACTCTCAGATAAATAGTATCTATCTGTATGATTTCCCAAGACTGGAAACCAGCACTAAGTGGGAGTGTTAGGCGGCACAATCTTTCTAGAAAAGCAATTTTGACAATTATGTGTCAAGAATGTTAAGTGAAACTTTTTAAAACAGTTTCTCTTCTTAGGGAAGGAAATACATATTACTGGTAGGAGTGTATAGATGGATACAGCTCTTTCAGCAAGTCATCTGGCAACATCTTCATTTTAGTACAATTTTCCTTTGACCCAGCAATTCCTGTTTTAGGAATTTCCTCGATATTCCTGCAAGGATTTAGGATAATGCTGCAAGGGTTTAGGATATTCCTTGCAGCATTTCTCATGTTAACAAACAGCAACAAAAATGGATGCACCTTGGTCGTCAGTAAGATTTTGGTTAAATAAATTAGGGTGCAGAAAAAGCGAACGCTTTATAGCCTCCAGAAATAAAGGAGACCAAGGCTGGGCACAGTGACTCACACCTGTAATCCCAGCACTTTGGAAGTCAAGGTGGGTGGATCACTTGGGTTCAGGAGTTTGAGACCAGCCTGGCCAACGTGGTGAAACCCTGTCTCTACTAAAAATAGAAAAGTTAGCCAGGCGTGATGGCGTGCGCATTGCTGTAACCCCAGCTACTTGGGAGGCTGAGTTGGGAGAATTGCTTGAACCAGGACCCAGGAGGCGGACGTTGCAGTGAGCCAAGATTGTGCCACTGCACTCCAGCCGGGGTAACACAGCAAGACTGTCTCTCAAAAAAAAAAAAAAACCTTCAATAAAGCCCATGCAAAAACATTAACCACTCCATTCTGCTTTTTAGAGGCCAAAAGCTAACCACCACCAACCTCTCCAAGCAAGAACAAAAACATACCTCATACTCTTACACCTTAAGGTACCTTGTCTTACACCTTGTCCAGCCCAGGTCCAGGCCAGCTTTGAATTCAACCCAACACAAATTCATAAATCTTCTTAAAACGTAAGATAGTTTTACAATTTGTTTTAAGCTCATCAGCTATCATTAGTGTCCATGTCTTTTATGTGTGGCCCAAGATAATAATTCTTCTAATGTGGCCCAGAGAAACCAAAAGATTAGATACCCTTGCCTTAAGTCACTTTTCTGAGACGGAGTCTCGCTCTGTCGCCCAGCCTGGAGTGCAGTGGTGCAATCTCGGCTCACTGCAAGCTCTGCCTCCCGGGTTCACGCCATTCTCCTGCCTCAGCCTCCCAAGTAGCTGGGACTACAGGCGCCACCACCACGCCCGGCTAATTTTTTGTATTTTTAGTAGAGACGGGGTTTCACCGTGTTAGCCAGGATGGTCTCGATCTCCTGTCCTCGTGATCCGCCCGCCTCAGACTCCCAAAGTGCTGGGATGACAAGCGTGAGCCACCATGCCCAGCCCAGTCACTTATCTTCATAGCCGGATAATCAAACAAGCTCCTTTGTTTCTATTTTGCAGATGTGGAAAACAGGCTCAGAACTAAGTGGCTCAAGATGACATACTGCTTGCTAGTTAGAAGACAGAGGTGACTTAAATACTATTTAACAGCACTAAAATGAGTGGCCCAATTCCTAATGGTTTCTTCTAGAGCAGTCTCTCCCTTCTATGGGAGAAACTTTTTCATCTTGCCCCTCTGTGGAGGCTTTTAAGTTATTTTTCCCTAATAGCTCCCCCCTTATAAAGTTCTAACATCACAAACATATTATATACATTTACGTCCTTTGGAAGGTCACAAACCACTGTAATATCAATAAAATGTTTTCATAGCATTGGTGAAAATATCACTTGAAATGTATCACATGTGAAAATATATGTCATGAGAAATTATCACATGAAAATATACATGTTCTGTTTAACACAGGCATTTTTAAACAGGGGGTCTATGAAATTAGATAAGAAAAAAATACTAATTTTCACTTAGCTGAACTAAAATTCAACATTTCGTTCAATGATGAATATAAGGAACATACCACAGTGGTATTAATAGTTGTGACTTTGTCATCAGTGGAGACCACAAATATTTTCATACAGTGTTACAAGTTGTTACAACTTGGAAATTCTTGTTATCTGACGGGCTATTAGATCTTGTTATTTATTGTATTAATAAAGTAGCTGATATTACTAAGTGAAAAATGTTTTCATTTTTGATGACTATATTTCAATGTAATTTATTTCCTTGGTCGTCTATGTATTTTATACATTACACCGAGAAGGGATCTATGGCACAAAAAAGGTTAAGCTCCCTCCCCTAGAAGGATCCAGCAGTTCCCAAGAGTGATTTACAGCCTGAATACCAGCTTGCCTTTGCTGTATACACAAGCTCGCCTCTTCTGTAGCCTCCACCAGCAACATCCCACTTGAGTCTTAAAACAGGAGCAGCTCTGTTTGCTTGTGCAGTAAAAAGTGCTTCTACATCCAGGCCGCCACTGGTAAATACCGAAACTGTATTTGCCAAGGAGTAAGAAGATTCTGTTATGAACAATTGCTGGACATGCTTAAGTTAACCCCAAAGGAAAAAAAGCAAAGTTCAGAGGGATTACACAGCAACTAGTTCTTCCATTTCTCCACCCCACCCCCACCCCGAATTTTAGGAATGTTATCTTGCAGCATCTAGTTATCCAATAAGTTGGAAGAATGCAGTAAACCCAGCAGGGGTCTTAGATTCAATCACTGCCAAATGGATAGAAAATACTCTTACTATTGTATAGGAAGAAAGTTCATCTACTAGTGACCAATCAAATTCTGGAGACACTGAAATGCTTAAAAAGTAAAACCCGTATATCTTGATAAAAGCATTATGACTCAAGCTTATCTTTTTTTCATTCCTACATTTAAAGAACTACAATGAGTAGATTATGTAAAGCACACATCTTCTACCCTCCCCCACCCCCAGGATAATTGCTTACGAAAAAACAAAAGGAAATTATGTGCCTTCTTAAGTATTTAACCAGTTGAAAGAAAAGTGCCTCTTTAGCAGTTTAATTTTAGCAGTCAAAAAGCCTTCAACTCAAGTCATAGAAGGCAAATTAGACTTTAAGTTTCTACCTAGTTAACATCTAAAAAAGGCAAAGTTTCAAACAGCCTTGAACCAAAACTCAGGGACTCTGCTGGAGAGGAAAAAAAAAGAGTAAATGGCTCAAAGAAAGTTTCCTAGGCACTAAGGCGTGTGACCTCTTTTTGCTTCCAAGGTTAGGGACGTGTCCCACTCTGCCCCAACTAGAGATCAGGCAAGTTTGTAAACTCCATCAGGGCAGGGGTTTTTGTTGCCTGTCTCCAGAGTCCCCCTGAACAAAACCTGACACAGACATACAATTCATTGGGGCGGGGATTGGGGGGAATTGCGGTGACTGGCGATGCAGTTCTTATCTGGATTTAGTGGCTTTTAAAAATGTTTAGACATTTAAAAAAATAGTCAAAAGTACTGTAGGCTAAAGGTGATGAGGAAGAGAGAACTTCTGGAACTCTTTTCGCCATTCATTTTTCCAGGGTAGTACAATCCACAGAAGCCAACCAAACTCCAACTTTGTTTTATTTCTGGGACCTCTTCATCTAAACCACGTGAAGACACATCCCAACATTTAAGATGGCAGAAGAGAAGCCACCAAACCCAACCCGCCAAGCACCAATCATGGCTCCCTTGTCAAAGATGCCAAAAAGAAAATCTCATCACATCACCAACTGGCCTAAGGCTATTTAAAAAAAAAAAAAAAAACAGTTCCTTGAACTCTGGGGTGAGGTAGAACAAGGCACCATGGGACATCAAGCAGGACAAGACACCACAGGCAAAGCCATTTCAAACAGGTGCTGCAATTTAAAATGAGTAAAAATATGACTATCAATTTTGGTCTTTAATTTCTTGAATTCAAGATAGCGCACTCAAGTCCCCAGCCAGGTGTCTGGCGGGCAGCACACTGCCGTTTCTGCTAAATTGCCTCAACTGGCAGCTCAACACCATCTTGACACAATAAACGCAAATAAAAACATTTTGGTATTTTGAACAAAATTAGTACTGATCACATTCCCAATTCATAGTAGCCCTTCTACAGTTGAAATTATCTAAACAGGGCATTTTATCACCACTATATAGAGGAGGAGCCCAAAAACTCAGAGAAAAAAAACACCAAGCTGGCTCCAAGGTTACACAGCTGAAAGTCACACAGCCACACTGGAATGCGGATCCCATTCTAAAACCTGACTTCCTAGGCATCAACGTAAACTTCACATTTTAAAAAAAGGAAATGCTAACTGCCTTCTGCCTCCCAAGATGGTTCCCCAACCCACAGCCCAGGAGGAAACTCACCAACAGCAGCACGAATGACAAAGTATCATTTGCTTGTGCACTGCACATTTGTATTCAACAAAAGGAGCTGTTTGGCAAATTGTAGCTTCTCTCCCTATGGGAAACCCAGATGAAATCTAACGTAGAAAGCTGGCCTGAAACGTTAAGTAACCTCAAAATCCTTCTAGCCAGCCTGGGTCATTTTGGTGAGTAATTGGAAATAGGAAGTCGTTCGAAACTTGGGAATCCTAATCGTTGATGTTTGTAATCCAGTTTAGCACAAAGGGCATTTGAAACTCTTTTGAGAAAATGCTAATTTTTCCTGTATGTAGTGTTAGCCCCGCGACCACCTGCAGATTTTTTGATCTGTTAATTGATCGCCAGACGTCATTTTCCTCCCTCGAAAACTGTATTCTCGAATGGCTTTGCAAAATAAGACCAGCTCAATCTGCATTCTAAAAAATCATGTGAGACATATACATCCAAGTTAGGTATATATGTCTGAATTATATATCTAACTATATAATTTTAGGCAGATCAAATGCAAACAACCCAAACGCAGCCATTACAAACGCACTGCTTGGGAAAACAACCTTCTGTCCCAAGGAAGAAATTGGAGGCTCTGCAAACACACTCTAGCCGCCAGGAGTTATTACCAAGAATTCCAGACTTGGCAAAGAACAGCGGGCACAGACGGCGATCACGCAGGCGACCGGCACGAATCCCCTGGGGTGCCCATCCCTGGCCCAGCCCAGTACTCTCCATTCACCCCCCGCAACCGGTCCCATCCACCAGGTGTGAGCCAGCACCTGCGAAGGGACCCCGCCTCCCAGCAAAGGGCTAGGATTCAAGCTGGGCCTCCAGGGGGCGCCCGCGCGCAGGCCGGGTGGGCTGTCCGCGACAACCCTGGTGATCAATAGCCAACTCCCCTCCCTCCCAAATCGCAGTGGCAGCGCACGGCCAGGCCTGAGGTCTTAGCTCAGCTCAGGTTGACTCTGATTCCAAACTCCAACATCGTTGATTTCAGAAGCCCTCCCGTAACAAGCTTCCCTCCCTAAAGGTGCCAAACACCACCAAAAGCCCCACGTGTGTGCGCCCACCCAAAATGAAGGGGGAAGGGGAGGTCAGCGTAGGACCAGGGGAGGGGTCAGAGCCAGGAGCTCGCCCCTCCTCTCCGAAGGAAGCAGGCGGGCTGAGGGTTAACCCTTTTGTTCCAGGTGGGCCAGGCCACGAAGCCTTCACGCTCCCCTCAACCCCCACCCCACCCCGCCCCCAACCAAAGCACAAAGAGAGTCCCTCCAGGCGCCTGGGACCTCGGGAGCGCGTTGCGCTGACCACCCGGCGCCCCGAAAACGCCCAGCCGTCCCCTCCGTCAAGTCGATCCTTTTAATTTGCCCTGGAAAAATGTTAAACGGGGGATTCTATTGACCTATTATAAACTTGGGAAATGTATTACATTCGGTCTCCGACAAAAAGGGTGGAGGGTACGGAAGCCAAAAAGTGGCGACCGTCTTCTCGGGAAACCCCGGGCATCAGAGATAGGCTCTGAGAGTCCTCCGGGGTTACCGCGCACACCCGTTTGCTGCAGGGAAATTAGAAAGCAGGCGGGGAGCGCAGCGACGAACAAGGCCGGAGAGGAGGCTACAAATCCCCCCTCCCCCCACGCGCACGCTAAAAACTTATCAGGCGACAATTTGGCGGGCCGGGATGGAGACGAGATAGTGGGAAACCGCCTCGCTCCTAAAACCTCTGCGGTGAAGTGATGAAGTGGGAACAGAGTTGGCCCCGCCGCTCCCGGCGCGGCTGGAGTCCCGAACTCCCCTCGATCCGGGAAACGCTGGCCACGGAAGCGGGGGCCGGGTCAGCCGCGGGAGTTCGCCCTGGCCCCCCACCTCTCCCCTTTCACACCAGGGCGCAAATGTGGAAAGCCGAGCGCTCCAGAAAAGCCACGCAAAACGGGAGGCCGGTGCACCCCAGCGGGGCTGCCGCGCGCCCGCCACCCCGGCCACTGGGGGCTCGCACCCTCCGGCTTGCCGCGGTTATTTTTAGGAAGTCGGAAATCAAAGATGGCTGGAGGTCAGGCCCCGAAAGGTTAGGGCGAAGATCGGCAGGCGGCGCAGCCCGGGCAGAAAAGGCGAAAACCAAAAAAGAAAAAAATTTTAAAGGGAAACATTGAGCCCTCCTCCCCCACCTCTCCGTTCCCTCCAATCCCCTGCGCAGCGCGGGTGGCCCGCACCCCAGCTCCTGAGGGTGGGAGAGGTCGCGCCCCCTCCCCCCACTTGGCCCGGGAGGGGCGCGTGCAACAGATCGTCCTCCTCCGGGGGGTCTTCCAGGGGTGCGCCCCTCCTCCAGCCTCCAAGAAAAGCCCCCACGGGCTGGTGGAGAGGGTGAGGATCCCCCGGGGTTCTTTCTTTTGAGAGCGACGCGAGGGAGGGGGACCTAAGTTACAAGAGAGGGGGGGAACACCAGTGAGGGGAGTGGGACCAGTTAAGTGAGGGGCAGAGGACAAGGAGAAGGGAACCTTTCGGGAGCGAGGAGAACGGAGGAGCGAGTGGGGGTCAATTTTACAATAAGGGGAGAAAGCTGGGGGTGAAACTTACACAAGAGGGGAAAAGAAAAAAGTGGGAAACGTGCAAAAGGCGGGGTGGTGGGGAGAGGAGGCGACCTCTCCTCCCGGGCACTGAGCCCCCAAATCTCGGTTCCTGAATTTGCGCTGGACGCCGCCCGCTCCCCGAAGCCCGCGCCCTCGAGGATCCCGCGTACGTCCGGGAAGCTCCCCTCCCCGGGCGGGCGCCCCAGCCCCACTCACCCAGCTCCCCCGCCGCGGGCGCCGCTGGGGCCGCATCTGCAAACTCCGGGGTCGGCTGCTGCGGCTGCTGCTCGCCCTGGTCCTCCTCCGAGTTGATGTGCTGGGGTTTCGCCTGCTTGCGCCTCGACATGGTGCGAGCATCGGGGCGCCGGGAGAGCCGCAGTTATTTGCCCTCTCCGCCACAAATTCCTGGAGTTGGGAAATTTACCCCCCTTCGGCCGGAACGCGCATGTCCCAGTAATTATTATTATCAATAATGCATTGCGATTTATCATGAGCCCTGACAGCTGATTGGCCTGGGTCCAAGACCTCAGAGATCATTTAAATAAGCCCTCATTGATCAGGGAGGGGCGAGGCATTCTGGGCTTTGTAGTTCGGGCCTACTTGTGACAAAGGCGTGTTCATCAGGGGAGCGCAGCTAATTAGCATCCGGGCTCAGATTGGCTGGGGCGGAGACGAAATCAGAGGGGGACCCATCCTCGCTCCAACTATCTGAGTCCTTGGAGAGGAGAAGAAAATGGGGGGAAATGCGTACTTATTAAAAAGTAGGAGCGTAAGTAAAAGTTTTGGAACGGGTGTATTTGGTAGTATGCTCCAAAGATTACTTTGTAAGGTTGATGTCCACCAGTCGAGAAGGGAGGTCTCTTCACACTGGAATATTTTGGCTCAGTTTTCACATCTACACGCACACACACTCCCCCAAACCTGAGATGTGACCCGTGTCCCCTCCCATCTTTTTGATTACAAATGTTTAAGTTGAGTCTCGAGATAACTGAAGAATGATGAATGGTGGTGTTTTCGGCCCTCCCACCCATCTCAACTCTTAAAGTGAGCTCGGAACTTCCAAAATTTCAGATTACTCCACCACCACCGTGACTTACCTCTTTTAAAAGCTGATTAATAGCCTCCAGGATTCCTGTTCACAAAGACTGGTTTGTGGTTACGATGCGAACCTTGATTTTTTTTTTTTTAACTTCAAAATGACTGGCTACTAAATATTAGAAGTGGCAAATTATAAGCAAGCATAGTCAGAGATAGTATCAAAACAGCAAGCAATTGCATTTTTTCCCCCAGGAGCCATAAATGCCTGATAACATCATATTTTATTACTGAGACAATGCTCTTGCATCTCCCATGGAATGGTAATGGAGCACGGTCACAGTATCTGGTTGTTACTAATCACTACTGGAATTTTTTTTTTTGCAATACACACATTATTACAGAAAAGGTGTATCGTTCAAAGTGATTGTATCATTCTGACACATGATGCCTGGAATTTTTTAAAGTTGGGCTTGTGTGTGTGTATATATTACATGTATATACATTTATACCATAAATCCTTGTATATGTAATTTGGCTAACTGCTTTGCGCAATGTACATGCTCAATAAATGCTAAATGAATGATGAAATCATCAACCTGCTAAGTCTTTGATTGGTCTTTCCATAACTGCTCTGGGCATGCGTCTTTGTTTGGCATTTACTTCATTGTAAGGGACTGTGCAGATATAAACCCTCCCTCCACATTTGTGCATTGCATTCTCTTGATTAGTTATTCATCACGTTCCCAGCTTGTAAACTCATCAGGAATACAAGCAAAATGGAATGCTGGGCTCATCAATGTGTTCACCTGGGTATTTGGACAACCCAAGGCAGAAAATAAATCAGCTTGATCATCTTTTTTATATTCGTGGCCATCAGTAAAAACTTATTGAAGGAAGATTAACCTTCAATTTTTGAGTCTCTGAAACAGTCTTGCCTTATTTTATGTATAACATCTAAAGCAAGTAAGACAGAATTATACCCAACAGCCAGATTGGAAAGGTAAGAATTTAGTTTAATAATACATGGAAGCAGTTTAGAATTCTGATACTGAGTAAAAAGGCCAATTAGCACCTTCCTTGCTGACTAATCTACCGATATTCTCAACACCTTTTCTGTGTAAGGTAGTGTGGCAGGAGATCTAACTTACAAATCTAAACGAATGTGCAGTAGGTTTACAGCTCAAAAAATATTATTGGGTCAAGAAAAATTTCATTTATTATATAGTTGTTTATATTTATTTTAGTAGATGATAGTTGTAACATGTTAGCCTTAGAATGAGATAAAATTGTGCCACTTGACTCTCCAAGTGATAGTAATAATAATAATTGATTGAGCCCCTTGTACATGCCACAGACTGCATTAAATAAATGCACACCGCCTAGTTTTATCTTCCAGTGGAGGTCGGCCCTATTGTCCTCTCCATTTTGAAACTGAAACTCAAAGACATGAAGTGACTTAATTAGAAACTGGCTGAGCTGGTGGTCAGTTTCTAAAATGGCGGTCAGTTTCTAAGTCTGACTCCAAAATTCTATCACATCCTAATACCTGTCTTCCAACTATAGCTGAATATAGACAAGATAGCTAAAGAAGAAAAATCGGAGTACAGTAAACATATGTTAAACTTAAAGTGTCCTAGAAAAATCTTGGGTTTTCGGAAATCACTCCAACAGATGAAGTCAAGAAGTTTCCCTCAAATGGAAACCTTCCACAAATGTCATATCAAGAAAAGCAGGACACGGTACATGTTTTGAATCTACTTCCAGTTTAAGAACTGCAGTCAGGAGCCAGTTGGTAGAAAATAAAGTAAGTCCTAGAGCAAAGCAGGGGATGACTGGAGGGTGTAGCAACAGGCAAGTCCCTAATCAAAAGTTGTTTCAGGCTGAGCACATTGTCTCACGTCCGTAATCCCAGCACTTTGGGAGGCCCAGACTGGCGGGTCACCAGAGTCAGGAGTTCGAGACTAGCCTGGCCAACATGGTAAAACTCCATCTCTACTAAAAATACAAAAATTAACAGGTCATGGTGGCGTGCATCTGTAATCTCGGCTACTTGGGAGCCCGAGGCAGGAGAATCACTTGAACCCAGGAGGTGGTGGCTGCAGTGAGCCAAGATCTAGCTACTGCACTCCAAACTGGGCAATTTCTTAAACCAAAGGACCTGGGTGGGACCCGAGCTTGAACAGAAAATGTTCAGAGTAAAGGATGATATTAAACTTTTTAATGTAATGTCCTTTGTTAGGTGATTGGGTTTATATAATCCAGTCATCGTCAAAGTTTATGTAATCCAGTCATTTTCAGTGTTTCTGCCAGGCAGGAATATTCAAAAAGTACACTTCTTGGTATATTTTTCAGCAGTCTTATTGTTTATAAGGAGATTTGGGATGTGTAATCTCATTTTATCCTCACTAATATCCTTTTTCAATTGCTTTTTTTTGTTTGTTTGAGACAGACCACTCTGTGGCCCAGGCTGGAGTGCAGTGGCACGATCTCTGCTCACTGCAACCTCTGCCCGGGTTCAAGCGATTCTCCTGCCTCAGCTTCCTGAGTAGCTGGGACTATAAGCGCGTGCCACTACACTCG